GTTAGACTGAAAGTGGTGCTGCTTTCTGCTCTGTCAAGGAAAATTAAAATCTGACATTTTAACATGAAAATGGTGAAAATCGAACTTAGGTGATTAATGCATAATGTAAAAAGTACTGCACTCAAGACTTAAATTCGTTTCCTTTCTTATCTAAAATTCTTGAGAAAGTAGTTGCCAAACAAGTGTGCGATCACTTACACCATAATGAACTTTTTGAAGAGTTTCAGTCTGGCTTTAGAGCTCATCATAGCACTGAAACAGCTCTGGTGAAAGTCACTAATGATATTCTCATGGCCTCAGATAATGGACTTGTATCTGTGTTTGTGCTGTTAGATCTTAGTGCTGCATTTGATCATAGATTTGAATACTTCGTATGTTAAAGGAACAGCTGTAGACTGGTTTAAATCTTATCTATCTGATCGATTTACGTTTGTTCATGTTAATGACAAATCTTCCTCATGCTCAAGGGTTACCTGTGGAGTACCACAGGGATCAGAGCTAAGACTAATTCTCTTTACCAAATATATGCTCCCAATCAGTAGAATTATAAATCCACATTAAGCTTACCCATTACATAGATTACAGGCATGTCTTGAAGACATAAAATATATATAGTCTTTGGACAGAGTCTTTGAAAAGAAGCTGATTAGTCAGCCAATTATTTTAGATAATAAAGTAAAAAATATTGGTGTTATTTTCAGAAGCTGTAATTTAAATCCCATATCAAAGAGGTTTCTAGAATTTCCTTCTTTCATCTGCGGAATATTTTAAAAATTAGAAATATCCTGTCCAGGGGTGATGCTGAGAAACTAGTCCATGCATTTGTTACTTCAAGGCTGGACTATTGTAATTCTTTACTACAGTATGAGGAAGTCCACAAACTGTAGTTAAAAGCCTCCAGCTGATCCAAAAAAGCTGCAGCAAGAGTTCTGATGAATATTAAGATCATATCTCTCCTATCCTGGCTTCGCTTCATTGGCTTCCTGTTAAATCCAGAATAGAATTTAAAATCCTCCTTCTCACATATAAAGCCTTAAATGGCCAAGCTCCATCTGATATCAGAGATCTGATTGTTCCTTATGTTCCTAACAGAGCACTTCGCTCTCAATCTGCAGGTTTACTAGTGGTTCCTAGAATATGAGGCAGATCTTTTAATCATCAGGCTCCTCTCCTGTGGAACCAACTACCAGTTTTAGTCCGTGAGGCAGAAGCCCCGTCTATTTTTTTAGGGTGGGCTTAAAACTTTTGTTTTTTAAAAAAGCTTATAGTTAGGGTGGCTCAGGTTATCCTGAGCTATCACTATAGTTATGCTGCTATAGGCTTAGACTTCTGGAGGACATAGGGACCCCCATTTCATCATTCTGCTTCACTCTATCTCTTGAAAGAATCTGTTATTTCAATCTTTAACATTAAGTTCTCTCCGCTTTTTTTCATAGTAGCTTCATCTGGTCTGTTCCTGTTTGGCTGTGACTCCATCCTGGAGAGAAACATCAGCTGTGCTGCTGCCATCAACACCTTGGTTTATAGATGTTGAAAATTGGCCTGTTTGTTAGTGTAGTCCTGTTTCTCTGACTCTGACTGGCTGGATGTGCTCTCTTCATCTCCTGATGTGGGAGCTGGCATGGAGCTCGTCTACCTGGCTGTGTGTTTCCTGGATGGGGCCGCCTTTTACAGCTGCTTTTTATGTCTCTGCTTCTGTCTCCTTGAACCCCAGCCGGCCTTGGCAGATAGCGGCTCACACTGAGCCTGGTTCTGCTGGAGGTTTCTTCCTGTTAAAAGGGAGTTTTTCCTCACCACTGTCGCTACAAGCATGCTTAGTGTGAGGGATTAATTTTCTATACCTAACTACAACCTGTAAACAAACTATAGTATGTTTCCTCCAATGGATGAAATGCTAGTTATAAGATTAAAGGCAAACAGATCGAGTGAATACACAAAAACTATTGAGACAAAGACTTTGTCATTAAAAAGGGTGGCAGAATAAAGGTGAAGAATTGCATGTACATGTATGCTCATTTTAGAAAAGAATAAAATTAAAGCTACAGTGTGTAATAATTACAGGCATATAAAGTCAGAAATTTAATATATTATACATAACTATGTTATTTATCATCACCTATGAGCTCAGCCTTTTAACCATAATATTTGCGTTGCCTTAGAATTCGTTATTTATAATTACATAGGAGCGGGTCTCGCAGCCATGGAGGCAGACATCTTTGCGCTACGGCAAGCGCAGAGGCAACAAACTAGCGATTGCGAGATCTCCCATTACGCTCGAAAATAACTACGGCAAGTTGAGAGAGATGAACTGAGACGGTACTGAACAATAGATGGCAGTATTATGCCTGAGAAGCGTTTAGTCTGCCTGAAACCAAAGAAGAAGAAGAAGCAGGTATACTGCGCCTCAGTAACAAGAAAGGTGAACAAGGCGGCAGGCGTGAGTGACTTTGCAAACTGTTTGGCACTGTGTGGCCAAACATCAGACGAATGGAGGATCATGCCTACTCTGTATCACAACGAAAAGTGGCGGACACCGAACCCCCATCATCTAAGAAGCGGAAACACGACGAGAATAAACGCAAGCGTGACAAGAAACGACAAAAAACACGGATCAACATTGGCACGGCATTTACACGATGGAAGTCACTGGTGGAGGAAAAAGGTTTTCAAAGTGACGCTCAAGTTGCCAGTTTTCTCTTGGACAGGTAACTAATCCTACACACACAATTGTCTAATATCACTGCAGTTTTTGGAGTACAGGATGCTCAGACCTGTCTAAAACAATAACATGCTGCGTGATGATGCTGTTACTCTCCAGTATACTTATTCAGCACAGGTAAGCACTGACGTTTCACAGGTAATGATTCAGTAATTTTCTGTAAAATAATTTTCTGGATATATACCTCGGTTACTTCTCTCCGGCTCCTTTGGAGATCTTCAAGCCTTTCCTCCTCTGCTCTCACCCTGCTGGCACCCTCCCTCGCCTGGCCCTAGCTGCACGCCCACCATGGCCTCTCTGCCCTCTTCCTCTCCCTCTTCCTCGCCTTGTAACCCCCGTGCCACAAACATGACTTGGACTCTGTAAACGGGGAATATATATTCTTCCAGCGAACACAATCTCGCTGTTAAACTAATGACTACAATTACTTCGTCTGTTTATATCACCATGCAAAGCAGCTCACCAAAATGTCACAACGATGTAGAAAAAATAACGGGTATATTTATTATCTTAAGTCTACATGAAATCTATACCCTACACAGACTAATGAAATACTATCTGTAAAATTATCTATGTAAACAAACCTCATCACTTGAGAAGGTAGGTGATTCCGACGTCGTGGAAGACATTTTGTCCCGTAACGCTCGCCGTACTGTTGGGGGGGAGAAGCGGTGGGGGGGAGATGTTCATGTTGCTGCAGTCTGCAGTCTGACCGCTAGATGTCGCTGAAAATTACACACTGTAGCTTTAATAGGAAATCCCTTTATTGTCCCAAAATGGGTAAATTCTGGTGTTACAGCAGCAAAAAGATTAAAGAAAAAATAGTCACAAAAATATAGACCGTGTAATAATATAATAGTGAAGAATTAAAAAATAAACAAATGAAATAAAATATCAGGTTATCTTCAATTACTGTCAAATCTTAAAGGAAAGGCGGTTTATAATTTTTGAACTAGTTCACATGTCAAAGTCTTCCAGTCATCATTTTTACAGACTTCTGGATGTCTGTGTGAAGCTCAACATCTACTTTGAGACAGATTTTATGCAGATAGAGAGATTAATTTGTATTAACTTAATTTCATTTTAAAATTTCTTTAAAAAGCTCACTTTTTTTATTTTTAGTAAATGCTTTACTACTGCTTTCCTCCTATGTGTTACCATGGCCTCATAAAAAAAAAATCTGAAAAAATATTTTTTTTGCATGTGTGCCATTACAACACTTGATTGTTGGTGTATTGGTGGAGCGGCGGCCTAGTGTTTAGGGCATAGGGCTTGGAATCCTCTGGTTGTGATTTCGAAACTCACTCCCACAGACTGCCACTCTGAGTCTCTGAGGAAGGCCCTTAACCCTCGATTGCTCCCCGGGTGCTGCACAATGGCAGCTCACTGCTCCCCAAGGGGATGGGTTAAATGCAGAGATTTGATTTATCCATTGTAAGAACAATAAAGTTCAGTTTGTTTAAAGTGTTACATTTTACTGGTGTTGCAACAATAATTGACATCCTCTTGATATCACTGGACATTCAAATTATTCATTTTCTAGTGTGCAGTTTCATAATAGGAAACATCACATGGCTGTTGCTGTTTTTGATATTTGTTGGGATCGCTGAGTTATAATTGTTTAAAATAAATATACCATTGTTCAATAAACAGCAACTGGGCAGGTAAACAGATGTTTTTAAAGTAAGTGCATGTTTGTCCTCTGATAACTCCCAATGCCTTCTTGCTGGCATTAAGTTGACAGCTCCAACCCAGTTCTGGCTTTAATAAGTTGATCATTAGCACTATAGTTGTTACTCCCAGGCTCCCTTGATAATATTAGGTGAATGATGGGAGCGAGGGGGCGGGCAGCCCTAATGTTTAGTTGCATATGAGTGGACACATGCATTGGAGGCAGGTGCACACCCATTGTTCTTTTTGATGTGATTATTTCCACCTCTCAGTGCAGGAAAACAGGTATCATCAAAAGGCAGTCTACATTTACAAAAGCTGGATTTAGGTTTTCTTCTCTTTCTCTCTCCATCCAGGTTCTGTAATTACAGCTCCTCTGTAATTAGGGGCAGAGCCTTTGGGACCACGGTGACTACTGTCTACTTTAAAAGGATTTTGCAAAGTACAAGATTTCAGACTGGGGGATGGGGTGAAAGTAAAGCACTCCAGTTTTCCATGTATCCCATTAAGATATAAAATAATGGTGCTTTCAGAACTTTTAACCTGAGGTCAGCTGCACATCACTAAGTTTCAGAACCATTTCTTTGCATTGTTTAACAGGAGCAGACAATTGCGCAATGGTTACCTGCCTCTTAGACAGCTGGTCTTTATGGGTAAAGGTATTATTAGGAGGCAACATGAGAAAACTGTGTGCTACTACAGAGAAAGTAGGATTAAGGGAAAATTTGCTGCCTTTTATCTGTGCAAACTCAAATGATGTGTATATGTCAGTGATAAAAAGGGTTAAATGTAATGACTACCTCATGTTGCACCTACTTGTCGAACCGTATCTCTGCATCTCCTGTGAGAAGGCACTCATTACTTCACAAGCCTGCCCATTGGTATTAATTGTAGGTGACTCTATAAAATAAATGCTCCAAATTAACTTTTGAAACAACACTCGAAACTGAAGTTTAACAGTAAAGGAATCTGGGCATGGAAGCAGGGTGACAGTAGCAGAGGAATCCTGCTGTGAAAAATAAAACCAGCTCAAGCTTAAAATCTGTGAAGAAATAAAATAAACACTGACAGAACATGGAAAGGGCTGGATAAAACAACAACAAAATACTTACGAACCAAAAGAAAATGAAGTAAAATTTAAAACATAGTACAAAAAGAGTAGAATACAGCAAATAAAAAGGGGAATCAACACAATGAAATTACCACATATGGAAACACATTAATAACAATAACAACTCAACCGATGTACATCAATCACTGTCTGCCTGTTGGGCACAAAATGTGGGAAAAGTAAAAAAAAATCTATCAAAAATGTGTAAAGCTTGTTATTAGATATAAACAATACAAAACAAACTTGCACCAGGCAGAAGGTGGAGAAGATTGCGTCCTCCTACTTCACCTGCCTATCACCTGTGTTTGGAAAGGCCCCACCAGCCAGGTGCAGGAAAGAGACAGTGGGATGAGTTATTGAATGGAAAATGAGAATGATCTCATCAACCTTAACACTAGGGGTGTCATTGCTAACTCAATTTCCTATCAAATATTTATATTAATGTACAGTTAGCACGAATGCTTCTGTAAGGTTGTAAGTAATATTGACGGGTCAACTCTGTCCATGTCCTCTTCAGCTCTTCTACTTGCCGGTGGTGCGATCCAAGCAGCTGAGACAGAGATAAACAAAATAAGCAGTGCAGTTTCTAACTATTGTAGGTCAAGCATCATTTCACGTGCAGGTGATCACTACTGAATCAATAAACTTCTTTAAACAAAACATAAAAAGAACAATTATAAACACTGAAGCAACAAATACATAAATTTTTTATTGAACAAAGACAGAAATTATCCCATATTAGGTCTGTTGCAGACGGTCATTTAAAAGATTTTCTCTGAACATCAGTGTCTGTCCATTTAAAAAAAACGTATAGAAAGTCTGCAGATTTTTAGTTTTTTTAAGCTCCTTCAAATAAATGTTCCTCAGGAAAACAACATTTTTCACAATCATATACTGTTACTTATTTCCTTCTTGAAGTCAAACTTTAAACATTTTTTAAGGCTTTGTATTAGATAAGCATAAACTGTAAAAACATCACAACTATTTGGTCATTCAGAACATTATAGGATGACTCCTAGTTTAGCATTACACTCCCTATTATTACATTTGCTTTGATTAATTTTCTCTTTTTAAAACCAATGAAAATCTGCTGTGTTCCTTTTCCTCCATGGCAGGTAAAACACTGTTATCTTGTACACAAATATATGCATTTGACTGACTCTGAAGATTTATTTTAATTAAGGCATCTTTTTAAATGTGTCTATAGAATATTCTTGAGAACTGTCATGCTTGTTGCTGATGCTGCAATCATAATAAAAATACATTTGCATAAAGAGGTATATTTGTCCTACCTGATGTCGAAATAATTATTCAAAAGACGATAAAAAATATTTTGTAATTGAAACCATTTTGTGGAAACCAAATTTAGTTAACACGAGGAAAGATATGCCACTTTTTTTAAATGAATCTATACTATAATTGAGTTCTATTTTGCTATTAATTAATGAAATACATTTTTTTTATCAAGCTACATCTATAATCAATCACTGTCTGCCTTCAAGAATCCGAGATTATTTTTAGCTCCCAGTTGTGACATCATTTCAGAAATCTAAACAGCACTAAGAGGAAACATATGCTCAAGTGAGAAGCAGTCACTCTTGACCTTCCCTACCAGGGTGCTCTGCAGCTAAGCTGCAGGGATTTGCACCAGCTCAACATTTACACCATATGGATGCTTTATTACAGAGTAATTATGTCTCTTTCTGTCTCCCTCACTTCTTTGTCTAACTAGAAAAAATTTGAAAAAAAACAAACAAAACAAACATCCTAATGTGTAACCAGGTGATTAAGGCGGCTTAACTAGGATTACCAAACTCTTCTGAGGAATGCAGGGAATATTTCAGCTTGTTCCAAGATGAGCTGTCAAATGTAGAGCATATCGACATATCTAAAACTAAAGTCATCAAATAAATTAAACATTTCATAACTAAGGTTTATAAAACAAAGTAACTGTAAGCTTGATTCACATCAGCTAATTAAGCTCTGAGGTCACCATAAGGCCGAACTATAAACACACCTCAAATACATGGAAAAAGGAGCTTATTTAATTGGTAAACATTGTAATTTTGCTTAACAAATCCTACTCCCCAAGTCATTATACAGCAGCAAATGATGAAATAAGATGCCAGCCCATTTCCCCACTAATTTCTTCATCTCGAACAATGAAAATAATTGGATTTATATTGAAATGAGAGCTGGACTGCCTATTGACTTTTGCTAGTGCATATTAGCAGTGAATAATCAATAAAGTGGATTTGATGCTTATTAAAGAGGAAAAGGTGAGATTTTTTTTCCATATGCAAGTCAATGACTGTTAATCTCATAACTCCTCATGCTAATGCAATGCTCCAACTTGGAGCACAACAGCATTGTCAACAAATCAGATTACAGCAATTTCATTGATTATTATATAGTAATGTATTTGTGCACCAGCATTCAAAGCTAACTGGCATGGGGTTCTGACTAAATCCTAACCAATAAATCAAGTAAATCCTGAGCTTATTGTTAATTCCAAGCAGTTAATCCTGGTATTTTATACTTGTGGCACTTTAGTAACATTTTGACTTTTAAAATTCATGATTAGTGTTCTACAGCGCAGGAGAGCATTTTCACTAGAAAAAAACCTTAACAATAAAGTTCTTATCTTTACTTTCTTTTCTTTGAATTAAATTACAATAATATTTAAGTTACCCAGTTCAAACAGGGCCCATATTTAAGAAAGCCATAAAACCTAACATTCCTAAGAGTATGAGAAAAATCGTAATAAGCCTTTGATTTAAAGAAGCATAGCACAAATTTTACAGTTTTTGCAGATGTTTTCCCCCTCTGGTGACAAGTTTAAATAACACCAGTGCAAATGCAGGAGAAGACAGAAAAAGCTCAAAAGTCTGTATCTGCGACTGAACAAGTCTTTTGTTTAGAGTTGTAATGTCATTTAATACACTTATCAAAGTTTGTTATTTTGAAAGGAGCATCTTACCTTTTCAGAAAAATGGCTCTTACTCTGTGTTTTACTCTATTCTTTTCCTCATTGCCGTTCAGACCCCAACTTTGGTTTTTTTGTCACGATAGAAAAAAGGTTAATTTTCTTACTCTTGTGTGGAGTCTATCATTGGGTTTGAGGTGCACTTCTGGCTGGTCTTTTAAGATCCATCTTCACAAACAATTGTTCATTTTCTCTAACTGTGGCAGACTCAACAAAAACTTACAAATAAGATATTTGAATAGGTTATATGGGATATAACATGTGTGTCCATTTAATTTTGACGAAGAAAAAGGATGAAGTGCTTCCCCAACAAATATCTGCGCCAGGATTGTAGGATTTCTTTTCAACTGCAAAAATCATTATCCCTGTCTGAAAACACTTTTTGCCTTAAGGTTATTATAATAAAATCTCAATCCTGTTTTAAAGGGAAGAAAAAAAATGAGGACGGAGGACAAAACATATGTTCCTGGCGCAATTTAATGGAATCACAATTTAGCTGGAGATGTCATCAAAGTATTTTACCCTCTGAACTGGAGCAGCATTGCTTACCTAGTTCTTTTTTTTTTTGAAATTGTGAAAATGATCATATATGCTGTTTTGGATAAACATTGTGGGCTGTTTGGGGATATTGTGACACACTCCATGAAAGGGAAGTCTAATGTTAATTTATTAATGATTTGCAATCTTTTTACCAAAAAAGCCAAGGCAAGTGCTCTGTCATGACCCAAATGAAATTAGAGCTCTTCTTGAGTTGAAGAAACAAAGGCATCTCCCCCAACAAGTGAGTTCCCAGTCTGGCACAGTGAGGTCAGTCGGCTGGGGCCTTTAGCCAACCCTAAGCTGAGCTGCAGTGCTGTGTGCAAATCAGCTGCTTTTCTCCCATTTCATTTCTCATGCACTGCATTTGTGCTCTTCTTTTCATGAATGTAGAAGCCTATCTTTGGCCCTCCCCTTTGAAAGGGCCTTCCCACTGACGAAGGTGACCTGCCACTGGGAAAAAGGAGGACCTGCCATGAACTGAGTGTCAGCCATTAAATATGATTTCGCCCCTGAATGGGACGCAAACACATTCAACCACTGAAACTCATTAAGGCTGCATAATCTCTCTTTTCTTAAGAATAACAATGATTTCAGCTGGAAAATGCAATGTTTTTGGGGAGCTAAGCCATTGATTTGAGTTGTATTCAAAGTAATAAATCAAGTCCAACTTCACATTCTGCGCCCATTTGCCTAATTCAGCGCCTCTCACCATACTGGTCAATTAGTTTAGAGCGAATATATTCAATACACGCTGCAATTCACTGACAAGGCATAATAAATCCTGTGGTTTGGAGAATGTCCAAGACAACCGTTGCTGCTATTCCAACTCTTAACTCAACAACAGTAGGAAAAAGTAACTAACATAGTAATGTAACTATAACTGCAATGTGAGGTTTAAGATGGTGAAAAATAAATTTTATAAATCATAAAGTGACATTTATGTGGTTAATTTGCTATGGTTTATCCTGCTTTAGTGCAAATGAGGTCAACAAGAGAGAAAAGCGGTAATGGGAAAGTGCCAACTTTAGTCTCACAAGCTGGGCTGCTTGTTTTTTTTGTTTTGTTTTTTTTAGTCTTCTACTCTGGCCTTCTCATCTCAACCTCAGGCAAATGTGGATAAAGAGCTACATTTTAGTTGATTATTATTTTTATATCATCAAGTCAAAGTTTTTAATTTCTACTGACTTGGCTTCAAAGGTTTCAGAGAGAAGCCGTCTGGCCAGCCTTCTAAATTACAGCCATGTGCACTGGAAGAGGTGGGAGCAGCTGTTAGGAAGGCTCTCAGTAGTCCAAACCATTGTAATCTGCATTAACCACATTGCACGAGAGTGCAAAAAGGTCAAAGTCTTTAAGTGCCTGCTGGGACGGGCGCTTGTGGATTACATGGTATTGCTCCTAGATGTTGTCATAATAGTATGGTACTACAAGTTTGCTACCTGATGTTCACCTGTATTGATGCATATTGACTATTTAAGACAGCCTTCAATACTTGGTTTGGAACAGTGGGGCAAATTACATCCTTTTAGGGGATATAACAGCAAATATGCAACAAAAAAAATTATCAAATTTAATTCTGTTAAGACCATGATAGATATTGTTGGAACCTCTGTGTTGTTGGTTGCACGTTAAAAGCATTTCAGTTTATTGTGGATTTTACACTAACACTGTTTGCTCCTCTACACTTTCGAAGTGGAACAGTTGACTTTTTTCTCAATCTGTGTTTTTTTTTTTTTCTGCCTGCTCCTTTTCTGCTTGTTTGTGGGAACGTTACTTCAATCCTGCCTGGCATTGCATAAGAGGCCTATTAGCAGTATCATGTGTTATCAGATGTGGGTATATAACCCCCCAAAAAATACTATATATAAAGCACCGCATTTCCTATGTATTTATATGTAGGAAAAAAAAAAAAACATCTAATACATTGCAGTAAAAAAGCTGATTTATTCCTGAGTAAGTCATCATTACATCTTATCAGTGTTTACATTTTTAAATAAGACAGACCAAAATATTAAGTTATGTGTAAA